AGGCAGACTGGATCACCAGACACCCTATCTCATCACAGCCAAGACCTTTTCACATGCAGTGTGCAGGATATAGAGGCATGACTGATAGTTGCTGTCACCCAAACAGAGGTTCTGGCAGGGTTCAACTGTCTGTCCAGGCACAAACCTGGTCCTATCCTGATGCTATCATGTCTTCAGTCAGTTTTGTGCCCCCTGGGATTATTATAGACAGCTAATTTACATAGAAATATCATAGCTAGTCAGACGGGGCTAGGCCCTTGAGGGAGTCAGTGCAGAGGATGAGAATACACTAGAGCTATGGCTGGAGGCACATCCATTGAAAGCCAGGCCTCAAGATAAAGACGGAATGAACAGGCCTATATGCCTTCCCAAGGGATAAGCAGTATACTGTAACTGGTATCACCTGGTCCAATGAAATCTAGACTACATAGACATCAGACACCCGGGAGTGGGGGAGACCAGGACCTCCTGACTCATCTCTTTAAAAATGGTCCTTGTTCTTTCTGTGTACACTTGCTACATGACATGCTTCCCGATTGGATCAACATTACCTAAGCAGCTATACTTGTAATCTTATTGGTTGATCATACTTCCATCCCACACTGTACCCACCTCATGACTTTGTATCCACCTGTTGAGAGTGCTCTATAAAACTTCCTCTGGAAAGTGGAGTCCACAGCAACCCACTCAGGCCCCCTCTCAGGACTGTCTTGCCCTCAATAAAATTTCCCATTCTCAACCTCAGGTGTTGCTTAGAATTCATTCTTCGATTTTAGGGAACACGAACTCAGGGTATCTGACAGCTACCACGTTGGGAGTTACATCTATTTCCCCAATATCATTCGAAGGTCCTATGTCAGGATGAGGATCGGTGGACAATTCACTGCCATCGCCCAGGGCTCAGTACTGAAACACTCAGCACACACACAGGGAGGCACAGCATGGAAGGTGTGTCATACATTTGATATCAGAAGCAAACAGTTTTGTGGAAGGAAGACTGCAATAATCTCAGGCTTTAAAAATCTAAGAAGGCAGATCCCACTGACACTGCAGTATGATCAAAAGCATCGCACACAGTGCCACGAGCTGCAGATGAAAGATGCCCAATCAGTAGGCAGAAAGGACAAAAGTTCAAAGCAAGGGTGTGCAGTAGGTGACTCCCCCATCACCAAGACTGAAGTTTAATTGTTTTTAAAAGGAGAAAAAGAACATTGCCAAACGAGCCTCCAGACACCTGATGTGTCTTTGAGCTTTTCAGTACTATGTTTCAAAACTGCCCTTCAGAAAGTTTTACTGTTAGTTCATTAACCTTTTCTTGACAAAGGTAAAGAGATCTATCTTATGCATATTTCTCACTTCAAAATCACAATTATTCAACTATACTGCTTTAAACTTAGTAGTCAGACACTAGGCTTTTTTACTTTGGTAGAAAGAACATTAGAACACGAAGCACTGAGGGTTACACTGCGCTCCCTCCTTATTTGTAGTTTCTGCACATACCCTGGGGGGACAGGAAATTCATTCTGCTGCATGGCTCAGCTTGATTCACAAATTGCAGGCTAGCGTTTTGAAATGTCATTTTTATTGATCTCCATTTGATGTTTCATTTGCCTTTCTTGGAGTACACAAATTATGTTTATGGCATTTCTCTAATAGCAGACCTTGAAAATCTAAGTTTAAATGAGCTCTGAAAAAAACATAACCAAATGAAATATCAGCTAAACAAAATTATCTGGATGTACATAAATTAACACTGATTCTAACATTCAAATTTGCCTTCTTTGAGTCTCCAGAGGTCACAACAAGGGTGAAAACAGCTATGTAATAGGAGGTTAACACCTTTCAGAGCGTAACAGGCAGCAAAAACTGTAAGAAAAAGCAGGTTCCAACCACAGAATGTAAATCTGCCAACTGAACACCTATGAAACATAAAGCACGGTTCAAAGAGCGAGACTAGAAAAATGAGTATCAAGCCCATTCTGTAAACTGGGAATCCGTACAGTGCGGCCAACCCCATGACAAAGACGGGGAACAGAGGTTAAGTTATCTAGCCAGCTACCATCATTCCTTCCTGACAACTTCAAAAACAGATTACACTACAAGAGGAAGTTTGCTTTACAGAATAAGTATGAAGGTTAAATGCAGTTTAATATTTTCAAATCAGCAGTACTTTAATACAGCTGTCTTAGTTACTTTTCTCATTGCTGAGACAAAATACCTGGCACGCCAAGTTAAAGGGGAAAGGTTTATTTAGCTCGCAGTTTGTGGCGGTTTCAGTCTGCAACTGCCTGGCTCCAAAGCTGTGTGGCATGTGGCGGAGGGCAACGGTTCACGGCGGAAGAAGATAGCAAAGTAACAAGAAGAAGGAAGGTGAGAGCAAGCCAAGCCTCTTTCTGTCCCTTATATCGTACCCAGTCTACCGGGCCTAGGGTGGTGCCAATCCAGTTGGTGGAGTGATTCAGCAACCCCCCACCCTGAATCCCAGCACTGGACCATGAATCAGTCACAAACTCCAGACTCAGCCACCTCTGAAAAACCCACAGTCCCACCACCATGTGAGGCTTTGCGGGGACATCTAGACACAAACTGTAACAACAGCTCACCTTTTTTAATACACCTAACTTATAAGTGAGCTGTATAAAGTAAAATTACCCACAATTTAGGAAGTAACTGCAATCTCGAGTAAAAGTACATCATCTTTAGATAGATTAATTCATTCACTGATTTATTTATTTTTGTTTTTTTGAGACCAGGTCTTGCTATGTCATTCAGCCTGGCCTTCAACACATATATACCCCAGGCTGGCCTTAAACTCATTGATACCCCTGCCTCAGCCTCCTAAGTGCTGGGATTACAGGCCTTAGATGGATTTATAAAGAAGAATTTAGTCTCAAACTGAAGACACTAAGAGAACAGGTAATTTACTAAATCTTTGGCTTTAAAAAGCCAACATTTCAATAGGTATCATCTTACAGTACTATAAACTTATAGAGGAATGACGTTTTAAAACTTTTACTTTATACAAAGCATATAAGGAAGCACAGGCGCATGCCTGTAATCCCAGCACCGGGGAGGCTGAGGCAGGAGGACTGATGCAAGTCTGAGTCAGCCTAGGGTACAAAGTGAGTTCAAGGCCAGCCTGAAATGCAGAGTGAAACCCTGTCTCAAAAAGACCAAAAAAAAAAAAAAAAAAAAAGCAAGCACGCAGTCTCTTATGCATCAAGGAAAGTAAGAAAGTAAAAAGACAACCTACAAAATGGGAGAAAATACTTGCAAATCACAAATCTGATGAGCATGCAAAATTCAGAACTCATAAAGGATTTCCGTGACTCAACAAAAAGTGACACAACCCAGTTAAAAGTAAACAAATGGGGCTGGGGATACAGATCAGTGGCATAGCACCTTCCTGGCAAGCACAAGGTCCTGAGTACCTCGTACCAAAAAAGGAAAAAAAAAAAAAAAAAAAAAAAAGTGAATGACTCGAATACATCCCTCCAAAGAAGATATGCAGATGGCCAAAGCACACATGAAAAGATGATCACCATCTTAGTAATTTGGGACCAAAAAAATCAAAACCTCAGTTTCATGCCAGTCTGGGCTGATTAGCAAGAATCTATCTCAAAAATAAACAAACAAACCATAACACATCATATCATACTTACTAGGACAGATACAGTAGAAATAATAAAGAGTCGGTGCTGGTGAGGCTCTGGTGAAACTCTTGCACACCGATGACAGGAATATTAAATGGGGCAGCCACTGTGCGAAAGCTTGGCAGCTTCTTTAAAAACTGAAGAGCCAGGCATGGAGGCACATGTCTGTAATCCCAGCACTTGGGAGGCTGGGGCAAGACGGTTGCTGTGAGGTTTTTTTGTTTTTGTTTTTTTTTTTTGTCTTTTTTGAGACAGGGTCTCGCTCTGCAGTTCAGGCTGGCCTTAAGCTCACTTTGTAGCCTAGGCTGGTCTCAAACTTACAGTGATCCTCCTGCCTCAGCCTCCCGAGTGCTGAGATTACAGGCGTGCGCCACCTTACCCGGCTGGTTGCTGTGAGTTCAAGGCCAACACGGGCTACATGCTGTCTCAAAAACAAACAAGCAAATAAACAAACAAACAAAAATCTAGGGCTGAGGATATAGCTCAGGAGCACAAGTGCCTGCCCAGCAAGCGCAAGGTCCTGAGTTCAATTCCCAGTACCAAAAAAAAAAAAAAAAAAAAAAAAAAATAGACGTCCAAAGAACCAAAAGTCCGAACTGTGGACTACACATGCAATGGAATATTGTATTACCCAGCCATAAAAAGAAATAAAATTTCTCACATGCTACAGCATGGATAAGCCTTGAAAATATTATGCTAAATGAAAGAAACCAGACATAAAAGCACAAACACTGTGTAATCCCTCTTATACAAGGTACCTAGAAGAGTCAAATTCACAGCAACTAAAAGTACATTTAGAGGTTACTGGGGTTTGGGGCAAGATACAATGAGGAGTTATTGCTCAATGCTGGCAGTTTCTGCTTGAAGTGACACAAAACTTTGGGAAATGGTGATAGTTGCCTAATGTTATGTATATAATTAATGCCACTGGATTATACATTTAAAAATTATTACAAAGGCGAGCTTTGGGGCTGGGGATTTAGCTCAGCGGCAAAGCGCCTGCCTGGCAAGCGCAAGGTCGTGAGTTCGGTTCCTGGTACCGGA